ATGTGACCTCAAGTGAAAAGGCAGACAAAGAGAGCCGGTATCAGGACTTCAACATAATGTCATTGCCATACCCGGGCTGTGAGTTCTTTAAGGACTACCGCGACAACGGCTACTCCGCCGAAGGGCTCGTCTATGACTGGAAGCAGCACTTCGTAGGTAGGGTTCAAGTCTCTGAAATGACTTAAATTCATAACAATTAGTAAAACTAAATTGAATTCTAAAGTAAGTAAAACGTTGAAGAAGTTCCGCCCCCGAGTTGGTTCCCAACGCGGAAACCACTGCTCATTGCCTCCTCGTCTACCCCTTCATCTACCCCTTCATCTACCCCTTCATTAAACTCTTAGAATTGCATTTAGTTTTCATATTACTTATTGTTATGAATTAAATTATAATTAATTCGTTTCATCATTCAATAGAGTCTTTCAATTAATTTTGTATAATTATGTTTGAATCCAATATAGACGCGGATCTAATCGTCCCGAACGACGACCACATCTGTGATCAGTTGAACGTCGATTGGAATCAATACCGCAATTGGGATGTCATTAGATTAACGCAAAACTATTTAAAACTGTTATTACTTTACTTCAATCAAACGGATTCATCGATTTTGATTCACTGTATCTCCGGTTGGGACAGAACTCCTCTCTTCACATCACTCTTACGGCTCTCCCTTTGGGCCGACGGAAAGATTCATCAAANAACTGTTATTACTTTACTTCAATCAAACGGATTCATCGATTTTGATTCACTGTATCTCCGGTTGGGACAGAACTCCTCTCTTCACATCACTCTTACGGCTCTCCCTTTGGGCCGACGGAAAGATTCATCAAAATCTCAGTTCCATTGAAATCCTGTTTCTCACCATTTCTTACGATTGGTTTCTTTTCGGCCATAACCTCAACGACAGACTCAGTAAAGGAGAAGAGATACTATTCTTTTGCTTCTATTTTCTTAAATACATCACAAGTGAAGAGTTTTCTATTGATTTCCTGACAAACAAATCCATTCAAGACGTTAAGGAACGCAAACCAAGTGTCGACCAATTGATTGGCGGCGAAGTCTCTCAACTTCTTCTGGAAGAGAACAACACGTCTGCCAAATATGGCGGAAGTTCTTCGAGTTTGAACAGTAGCTGCAGTTCTGCCAGCACTAGGAGTCACGACAACTGTCCGCCACTGTATTTCCCGATCTTCAATACCGGCGAAGATTTGTTCTTTAAAGCGGAATCCGATTCCAATAGCAATAACAGCTCTTATGGCAAAACACCGCCCACTCTGACCAACAGTGAAGAGGGCTCTTCTATGTTCGCCAACTCTTCAGTCAATACATCTGTACTCAATAGATATGAAGAGCCACTCAGACATATATGCACTCCAAAGCACATTTCTAATGGATGTAATTCAAGGACCACAGAACCAGTTGCTATTCCCGTGCATAAGAAAGTGGTTAACAATGTTGATAACGGCTTGTCATCCCTGAGCCGTAGTGACAGCTGGCAAATAGTGTCCGACACGGGCAGTATCCGCGAGGGTTCTATGCGTTACTCATCTCCTGACTCGATATCATCGCCTAAAACTAATGGCAATTCAGTGGACACGTCTTCGAGCAGTAATTCAGATAATTGTGAACCGAAGCACTCGATTCACGCAAACGTCAAACGAGAGCGCGATTTGAATAACGGAAAGGATTTGCCTCGAACCCATTATATGAGGCGCGAGAGACTCCAATCCGTGAGAAGTATTTTCTACAACTCATACTCGTCTGCCATCGGATTCAAGTTCAAGAACGGTGGCGACAACAACCCCACCCGTCTGGCCACTCTCATTGACCAGTTCGCCGGACTTTACTCGAGTAGAGTCACAGCTCCTCAATAACATCCGCCCATTGTTTGCATCAAAATGTCACTTATTTTATTGGAATCACTGCCGAAGTCAACACACAAACTGCCAAAAACTGATTTTATGTGACTTTTCAATCATTTTTAGACATTTCTTACATTTGAAGACAGGTTTATATAATCTCGTCATTTAGAGACACTTTTACAAATGATACCAATTTTTGGTATAATCTTGGGATTAAGTTTGTTTTTAGTTTTATTTCAACGAATTGATTCAGTGATTAACTGTTCAAAGTGACCCACCTAACAATATCACTAAATCAATACTTTTATTTTTATTGAGGTTTGCATTTTAAACTAAACTTAATCCTAATGTTATTGTAATAAAACTGTGAATTCTCTTTAAATGACTGTAAGTCTGTTATATAAGATATAATAATTAATATGAATTTTTAGAAAATTTATTACTCTGTTATTAATTAATTGAATGTTATTTTTCATAATCACTACTAAGCGCTGATTGAATTGATTTAAAATTTATTTTAGCAAATTATCATATTATATTTGAGCTTATTTTTGGATAAAATTTAAAATTGATTAAACTATTTTTAACTTTTGTTTTGAATAAAAAACTTTAATTCTTGAAATGCCATTCATTTATTCAATCCTTTATTAGTTTTGATTGAATATTTGTAAACATTCAGAGAATTGCAAACTCTTCCGAATAGTTTGCTTCGAAATAGCATTACTGATGAGAGGTATATCCCAAAGGTATTACACACAGCGACTGGAGGACAGGTATTATAATAATGTAAATAACAAATGAATGCAAAGAACTCGTCTGACAAGTGAGTTCAGGTGAGTCCTAATAGCACAGGGAGTATAGCGCTCACAGGTCTATGCGATTTATATTTGAAACCCCATTCCTGTCGTGGAATGCAGTCGAAGATTAGTTGAAGACATTTGTGCCACGTTTGACATCTCATGCCTTCACTTCCATTAGTTTTCGGTCCATATTGATGACGAAAACTATGTTCAAGTGTTTCATCTGAAATGTCAAAACCATTTCCATCGGAAGAGCGCATTCTTCCGCCAAACTTAATGGCAGTCAAAGCCCAGAAACTGGTCAATCTTCACAGAGTCACTGCTAATGGCAATGGCTTGAAGTTAGTGCCCGTTAAGAGACCTGTCTTGTTCACGATTACAGCTCCAGGATTTGACCAGGATGACATTAGCATCATTGTCACTGGTAAGTGAATCGTCGCTTAGAATTTAATGACAACTTTAACTCATTGATTGATGGTTTGGTTGGACAGCGCCATCCAATCGAGAGATCCCTTTCCGAATGGATACCATAAAAGCAGGTCATTATGAGGTGGAGTACATCACTCCAGAAGTAGGCGAACATCTAATTGAGGTGAAGGCGTTTGGTAAAGCCATTACTGGAAATCCTTTCCACAGTTTAGCGTACGATTCGAGCAAAATAAAAGTGGGAACCATTCCTCACGGTGTGGTCGCCAAAGCCGTTCAATTCGAAAGTGAGTCGAAAGTTACAAACTTTCCAAACAATCCATTTGTTTAACAAAACTTTTTTTTGGTATGAAGTCGACTGCAGTGAAGCCGGTTCTGGCAATTTGGAGATACTTGTCAACAACGGACGTGTGAACAGTGAAGTGAAGAACTTAGGGAATCACCACTTCTTAGCCTCATTTGTACCGCAATCGGTTTCATTGCATACCATCGAAATGAAGTTCAATGGGGAGCACGTGTCGGGCTCTCCCTTCAAGTGCCAAATATTTGCTTCACATTTGCCTTTAAATTCATTACCGAAAAAAGGATTATTAAAAGTGCAATCATTGGAGTCATTCCCTGTGGGACAGACCCATTCGTTTGACATCAATGCTCCGGGAGTTAAGAAAGAAGACATCGATGTGTCAATACTGGGGCCCTCGAAGACGGCCGTTCAGAACCGTATACTGGATCTACAGAATGATGTGTTTCGAGTTTACTTCAGTGTCTCAATTGTGGGCACCTATATGTTTGAAATTAATGTCACGGGTCAGCCCCTTATGACAAATGGATTTTCAGCCAAAGCTTACGATATTTCAAGAATATCTGTGAGTGAAACGCCTAGAAATTGCTTAATCGGACATAAGCTTGAGTTTCAGGGTATATATATTGAATTTGAATGAAAGCATAGAATTGGTTTTTAAATTTATTGGTGATTCCCAGTCGATGCCTCCCAGGCCGGAGAGGGACAGTTGGAAATCGCTGTCAATGACGGCGAAGTGCCCAATCAGGTACAAGTTTTGGGTAATGGAAAATGTTTGGTTAACTTCACGCCTGAAACACTTATTCCACATATTGTTGACATAAAGTTTAATGGAGAGAATGTCCCGGGTATGCAATCAATAACTAAAGATTAGTTAGCTTTATAGTATTAAAACTGTTATTATTTTATGAAAGGTTGTCCATTTGTGTGTGAGATATCAGATGCCACTCAATTCAGTGTAGATCTGAGTCATATTGAGCTCATACCGGTTGGAATGCCGGCCCGATTTAGTATTACCTCCAGTGCCCCCATTCAGAACCAATCGATTCGGACTATCATTACATCCCCGACCGGCAAACAAATACCCGTCAATATAGAGTACATCGAGGGATGCGTTTGTGAATTCATTCCTCTAGAAGTGGGTCCACATATCATATCCATAGAGCACTGCAACCGACCCGTCAGCTCATCCCCACTTGTCATCAAGTCTTATGATTCGAAAAAAGTTTTGGTGACTCCCGTCTCATCGGGAAGTATAGGAAAACCGATTCAATTCATAGTAGACGCCAGCAATTCAGGCGAAGGAAACTTGGAAATAGCTGTCAATGCAAAGGGAGAGAACATCATAACCCAAGTGCACCCCATGGGAGGCGCAAAGTTTGGGGTTTCGTTTGTCGCTAATGAAAATAGCGATCATATCGTTTCAATTACATTCAATGGACAACCCGTTTCTGGTTAGACATTACAAATATATTATTTTCATAATCAATTAACAAGTTTTATTTAAATCACTCACATATTAGGAAGTCCTTTTGTTGTTCATATAAATCCTGAGGTGAATAAAGTGTCTGTCAGTGGAACTGCTTTACACTTCGCACCCGTCGACAAACCAGGCATTCTTACAGTGAATAATATAATCTCTGAAAACGATTTATTTTCTAAAATTACTGGTAATATAAATTAAATACTATTTGAAGTTGTTTCGTAACATGATTAACTCTTATTTGTCAAATTATCAAATTAAAGGACCAACCGGACAGCCTATTCCTACTTCATTCAAAAGAGATCCAGACTCTGGTATCACTAATATTGAGTTCTTGCCCACCATTCCAGGTATATACTAGTAACTAGTTGATCATAAATAATAGCAGTTAGTCATTTTGCATTATATCTAATAATTTTAATTTTTAGGTGAATATCTAATACAACTGAAACACAAAGGCCTCCCAATTCCCGGTTCGCCCTTTTCATCAAAAGTTTATGACATTAAAAGAATTCGTGTGAAAGAAATTCCTCGAGAGATTGTTTCTGGGAAAGCAGTTACTTTTATTGGTACTAAGATAGTGACAGAAATTATTATTATATTCATGAACAATTAACTAATTTTGTGGTTTGTTGTACAGTGGAGGCGTCTAATGCAGGTCCGGGTAATTTGGAAGTGATTGTCAACAGCGGGAAAGTGCCATCAACTCCCAAAGCCTTGGGATCGAGTCTTTACGCAATTACTTTTGTACCCAAAGAGACAGAAGACCATAACATTGACATTAAGTTTAACGGAGAAGCAGTTCCCGGTTTGTATTCATAGAAAAAGAAGAGTGAAAACAGTTATAAATATTATGATTAACTCATAGGCTCTCCGTTCACATGTGCGGTATTGGACGCATCAAAGTTGACCATTAATAAGGATGGCTTAGAAAAAGTAGCCGTACTCACGACCGCACGGTTTGCTATTGAAACTAACGGCTCGTCTATTACCGAGAATAATATTATCATTCTTGGGCCGACACACAAGGCTTTGAGAGCAGTTCTTAACGGTGATCCACAAAATGGATATCAAATTGAATTCACGCCAACAGAAGTGGGCGATCACGCCATTGATGTGAAAGTTGGTGGTTCTTCAGTGCCTAACTGTCCATTCCTAGTGAAAGCATACGATTCGAAAAATGTCCGCATTTCGGAAATTACTCGAGTAGAGTCACAGCTCCTCAATAACATCCGCCCATTGTTTGCATCAAAATGTCACTTATTTTATTGGAATCACTGCCGAAGTCAACACACAAACTGCCAAAAACTGATTTTATGTGACTTTTGAATCATTTTTAGACATTTCTTACATTTGAAGACAGGTTTATATAATTTAGAGAAACTTTTACAAATGATACCAATTTTTGGTATAATATTGGGATTAAGTTTGTTTTTAGTTTTATTTCAACGAATTGATTCAGTGATTAACTGTTCAAAGTGACCCACCTAACAATATCACTAAATCAATACTTTTATTTTTATCGAGGTTTGCATTTTAAACTAAACTTAATTCTAATGTTATTTGAATAAAACTGTGAATTCTCTTTAAATGACTGTAAATCTGTTATATAAGATATAATAATTAATATGAATTTTTAGAGAATTTATTACTCTGTTATTAATTGAATGTTATTTTTCATTATCACTACTAAGCGCTGATTCAATTGATTTAAAATTTATTTTAGCAAATTATCATATTTGAGCTTATTTTTGGATAAAATTTAAAATTGATTAAACTATTTTTAACTTTTGTTTTGAATAAAAAACTTTAATTCTTGAAATGCCATTCATTTATTCAATCCTTTATTCTTAGTTTGTATTCAATATTTGTAAACATTCAGAGAATTGCAAACTCTTCCGAATAGTTTGCTTCGAAATAGCATTACTGATGAGAGGTATATCCCAAAGGTATTACACACAGCGACTGGAGGACAGGTATTATAATAATG